TCGATAGAGGATCATCCACTCTCGACGTCATGAGAGGAATATCCCATGTGTTCTTGCTCAGACAAATCCCTGGCCAGGGTCATTCGGGTTGAGAGAGAAAGAGTTATCCGGGAGAATCCGATTAGAGCGAGACTCGAGTAGAAATCGTATGGGTCTGATAACACCATGCTCGATATACGGTCTCTGGGATATTAGATGGATGAGGGATTATAGGTACACGGTAACTGAGGACAGACAGGTCCAATGGATTGGATTCCCCTGTATCGTTTGGGGACTACGGCGTAGTGGCCTAGTACATCCGTAGTCGATGAGTCGAGTGAATTATTACAGAGATAATAATTCACTGAGTTAGAAAGAGTTCTGACAGGTATGACTCACGGCCAGCTCGATATTGGGCCTAGAGGGTCACACACATATGGTAGGGATTGCGATAAGTAGAGGTTCGGATATGAGATATCCGACGGAGCCCTTGTCTTATTGGATGTAGATCCAATACCCACTAGGGGAGGACTCATTAGGGTTTGACAAGGGACCTCTATAAATAGGAGGGATTCAGAGCCTCATAGGTAAGAGTCTTTGCTTGCCTTTCCTATTCTCCTCTTCCTCTCCACCTCAGAGCAGGCCTGGAGTCTTGAGGAGCGTCATCGCAAGCCTGCTGTGTGGATCACCGCTAGAGAGGAGGACGCTTGACCTCCTTCACCCTCTCCTAAGGATCTGCAAGGAAACAGGGGTATACGATCTCCCTAGGTAACACAATCTACTCTATACGCAGTTTCATGTTTCGCAGATTTTTTCGCACCAATCTTCGCACGACGACGAACATCTTTTTGGGAATCGAGGATTTTGTTTTCTTGTTCTTCCGTTGCGCATGTGATGTCGCCCCACAAGATTTCCCAACACTTACTACTCTCATTATGCTTACGAATGTGCTTTCAATTTAAACTCTTTTTTTATATCGATTTTCATCGAACGAAGATTTTTTAAACTGTTGTTTTTACGAAAGCACTAATTCACCCTCGCCCCTACCCCCCCTCCCCCTCCTCCTTAATCAAGATGGTCTTTCTATTGTTCGTCCTCCTATGTTTAATGGAATATACTACACTTGTTGGAAAACTCAAATGAGAGTTTTCTTGCTTTCTATGGATTTGAATTCATAGAATATTGTCGAAAGTGGATTTTAAAAGTCTTCTAATCTAATGAACAAATAGAATGATTTGGAGAATTTTTTTTTTCTTTGAATGCTAAAGCTATGAACGTTCTATTTTGTGCTTTGAATAAAAATAAGTTTAATCATATTTTTTTATGTAAAACTGCACATACGATTTGACACACACTAGAAGTAACTTATGAAGGCACGAATAGAGTAAAAGAGTCTAAAATAAATATTTTAATACATGATTTTGAGGTATTTCAAATGAAGCCAAATAAAACTATTATTATCATGTACACCCGTTTTATGGATGTCGTCAATAGTTTAAAAGCTCTTGGCAAATATTTTTTAAATCTTAAACTTATTAATAGTCTTACGATCTATTTCTAAAAATTAGGATTTGAAAGTAATTGCAATATAAGAGGCAAAGGACCTAAATAACTTTCCACTTGAAAAACTTATCAGGTCTTTGATGACCTATGAAATGACGGGCAAGGCATATGATGAACTTGATGAACATGAGAACAACCTTCCAAAGAACATGAAGGATTTGTCACTTAGAACAAAAGAAGACCAATCAAGTGAAAGCTCAAGTAATGATGACTTTGAACTCCTCACAAGTAAATTTAGAAAGCTCATAAAACAAGAATCAAAGAATAAAAATGAACTTAAAAGGAAGAACCTGCCAAAGAACAAGAAAGCACTCAAGGTGACTTGGAACAAAACGAGTGCATCCGAAGACGAGGAGTAAACCGATGAAGACGAAATGGTGAACTTCGCTTTGATGGCTCTCGACAATGAGGTAAACAACTCAAATAAATCTTCTTTATCTTACAATGGATTATTCAATGCATTTAATGATTTGTTTGATGATTTTAAATTAGTTAGTAAAAAGTATAAATTGTCAAAAAAGAAGTATGCTTCTCTTGGTCATGAATTTAAAAAATTAAAAAATGAGTATGATAATTATATGTTAACTTATTACACTAAATGTAAAGAGTTAGACTTAGTTAAGAATGGAAATGTATTACTAAAATAAATGTTAGAAAATTTTAAAATTGAGAGCAAATCATTAAATATGATTCTTGCCAATAAGGGTCATATACATACAAAAGTAAGAATCAGTTTTGTGAGTAGCAACACTCAACAAAAACTAACTTTATTTGTTATATAACTCACATTACATATTTTCCATAAAAATAAATATAATTTTTATGGTAGGTGTGTATATTTTATATATAAATGTCCATTCAAGAATTATAGCTTGCATAAATTAGTTTGGGTTCGAACCATAAATGACCTTATGCCAAAAAGCAAGATAGATAGATTTAATCATGAGGGACCCAAAGTTCAATGGGTACCTAGAACAAACCCACCCATCTTATAGACATCTCCAAAATTAAAAGCTAGAAGCCAAAAATGATTTTTTGATTGTGGATGCTTAAGGCTTATAACCGGAGATCTAACAAACTTCACAAAGCTCATTAGCTGAAACAAAATTATTTTGATTGAATATGCTCATGATTAATGAGTTTATATTTTGAAGTTATGTATGATGATTTTTATGATTTATGGCTTATTGATCTTGATGATTTTTTTATGATGATTTTTTAGTTTTTTGTTTTCATCAATGATGCATGGATTTGGCATAGAAAACAAGGATATGCTTGTATGAAATCAATCATTGAAATTGAAATTAAAAAAAAGGAAGAATGTATTTTTCTTGAAAATATCTCTAAAGCTTTTCGATTTTTTAACAAGTAATTCTTAGTTATGAATCTACTTTATGTTATCTCTTGAATTAAGAAAGTGATTTTGATGATTTGAATTTAATAAGTTTTATCAAAATCATGAGCTTGATTTCTTAATATTTATAACTTGAAATCATTTATGAATTAAGATCTCTTATTATATGTTTTGTATCATTTTTTCTTATTGAGATTTCTTCAAATTGAAATTTATCCAAATGAATCATGATTTCTCTTTTAATTTCTCGGAATTATAACTTGAATTTTTTTATGAATCAAGATTTTTTATGATTTCTTCTTTTACTAAAGAGAAGAATTATGCAAACAAATCATGATCTTGATAATTATAACTTGAGATTTTTATATAAATCAATATCATTCACTATGATTTTTTTGTTTTACTAAACATAATTTTTATTCAAATTTTTCTCTTGATTTTTCAGAATTTATAACATAAGATCACCTTTGAAGATCATTGACTATTTAATCTCCTAAAATTTCATTTCACCATTTACTAAAGAGGAGAATTATCCATATGAATCATGGTTTATCTTAATTTGTTGATTTTTAATGACTTACGTTTTTCATTTGAATCAAGATCGTTTAGTATAATTCATCTTTTCACTATTTGATTTATCCAAAAGAATTATAATTTCTCTCTTAATATTCACAACTTGAAATTTGTATTCAATGAATTGTATATCTTATTACCAAGTTAATTTTTCTTGATATATTTCATGTGATAATTTAGAAAATGATGTAAAGGAAAAAAATTTGCACTATTGTAACATTCCCTTTTTTTGACAATGACAATGAGGAAGAAAGATTTGCTAGTTTGTATAATTCAAGAAGAAAGAAAAACTTGTAAATTTGTAAAAATTTCTAACTCGTAAAGAAAGAAAAAATTTGCTAATTTACTCATCTCAAAATAGAAGCAAAGTTTGCTAACTTGCATATTTAAAAAAGATACAAAAATTTTACTATCTTGCATTTCTCGAGAAGCAAAATTGCTAAACTTATACATCTTTAAAACTTACAAGTTTGCAAGTTTAAAATCTTTGAGTTAATACTACCAGAAAACTTATTATTCACCATGGGCTGTATGTTCCAAGCATTTAAGTTTATCACTACAAGATAATTTGTTGACGTGATTATCACTATACTGACTTTTAGTGATAAACTATCATTTGTCACTAATATATATTCTCACTAAAATTTTCATATATACATATTAGTCATTGCCACTAATACCGTCACAAATATTTTTATCTATGATAAAAATATTATAACTATCACAAATAATATTTTTATTGATGAATATAATTATTATTATCACTAAAACTAATATTAACGACCGATAATATATTTTGTCATGAAAAATCATACGAGTCGACTCGCTAAACTCGATCAACTCAAGCGAGTCAACTCGAGTTTGCGAAGTCGACGCAAGCAAGTAAATCCAAGACAATATATTTTTATTCTCTAACATATATTTTATCGGTTCTATTTTTTTTACTACTACGGAATGGGGGAGTAGGCAAGGCATCGCGTCGGAGCCCGAGATTTCGGTGGAATCACAGGAGAATCTGCCGCTCCAAATCGGTGGCAAGGCCATCTGGATCTCGGCCGACCACGCATCGCCGGGAGGCTCAGTGCTGCTGCTAGAGACAACGCGGGAGGCAGGAATCTCGCCTCCTGACCGGCATCAGATGGTAATTTCATCGGGGTTCCCTATAGGTGCCAGAGCAAGGGCGAGGAGCCAAACCATGCGTTGAGGATACGCAACTAAATGACCGCAATGCCACCGACGTGCTCTCTCACAACTAAACCTCGTAGACTTGCTTGATGCCATCCTTGGCTCAGTTGTAGCCTTGACCAGACTTAGCGGGCGAGCGTGGTGTTTGCCTTCTTCACCTCCCTCGAGCGCTGCTCCTGCATCAACCTCGGCACTGCCGAGGATGTCAACGATGAAACCGAGGAGGCCAAGGACCGACCCCTCTTTCTCACAAAGCCCATCCTCCACCGAGAGGATCCCAAACCCTCCTCTCTAGTGGCCATCCTCATGGAAACCTAAATCCTTGAAATCGATTGAATGATTATGGAGCATTTCCTATAAGGAAACTAGCTACAACCTTGTGTCATCTACCTACTGGAGGAGTAGGATTTGTGAGTATATGCAATGGTTAATTCATAACCAGTCATTGAACCGTATGTAAATTTCGATTGTACCCTAAGCTATTACTAAAATCAAGTTTTATTAGTAATTTGCATCTGCAAGCCTTTCTGAAATAGTAGGGATATAAATGTCAGTGGAAAAGTTATTCTTAACATACTGAATAACCAAATTTAGTGCATGCTGGATTTTGACTTTTCTTCACCAAGCATTTCTTACTTTTATTGCTCAACTACATATTTTGTTTTCCTGGCAACTATTGTTTATCAGGCTAGGAATTTTAGATGCCTAAACAAAACTATTGCTTGCAAAATCTTGTGTACTTCCCTTTGGTACTATTCTTCATGCCCGAAGATATGTTGTATTTCTCCATTCCAATTATATTGAAGCCCCACAAGCTAAATTGCTTAGCTGATGGGTATGGTGGGGAATATGTAGTTTATTGATGAGATTTAATGGATGTTTAACACGCTTTTTCCCTCCACTTACTAGAGTAACGATGATCAATTATGTATCACAACATAGTTGATAAACTGGTGGTGTTAAAATTATACTCTATAAACCTTTTGAGTCACTATTGTATGAGAATAGCTCTTGTATTAGGGAAACGAAGTTGGTCCTACCTGATGGCCATAATTGTTACATCTGAAATCTTGAAGATGTTCAAGATATGCCTGTTCATCTACATATTTGGATAATTTATTCATATTATACTTATATTTTCGGTGTTATTTACCATGCTCTTAATTTTTTTATATTCTGCTGGAATCATTTTAAATTAGTTTTGCAATTACATAGTTCGATGATGCGATTCTCCTTTAGTTATAAATATATTGATGCTACTCTCCTCTAACATGAATGTAGTGTTATGATATGATTCCAGAATGATTGTTTTTTCTATTTAAGATTTCCCTATAAAGGTTACATTGTCAATTGGTGTACGGTGGTCATGTATTGTTGGAGTCAAATTTTAATAAGACAATTAAATAGCCCACATTGTTTATAATGATCTTTTATACTCATTACAATTGTCATATTTTTCTTTTGTTAAGGTGTGGTAACATTCCATGATTTCTTAGACTCTGTAATTATAAGTTATTAATTCAATCTCTGGTAGAAATGAACTGACTACTACATAGAACACTTCCAAATTATATTAGCATACCTTTCATGATTCATTTAACTTTGTTTTTGATGTAATGGATAGTTTGGTTGTATTTGTCTCTAATTGGCAGAAAGGAACACTGGGTGAAGGGATTATTATTGTTCTATATACACTATAAAATATATCCATGGGTAAACTCCTTAAGGGTCACATTTTGCTTATCTTTCCTGGAACTTTGAATGTGGATCTGGAGACTGAAGCTTTAGTCTGGTTCCAGTGGATCAGTTTCAGCATTGACAAGTGGTCACAAGCTTTTTCAAGTCTTTCATCCTTACTTCCTTGCTACTTCAATGGATGACATGACATTGAGGACCCACTGAAATATCAATAAGTTATTTTATTTGTGGAGATGTGACATGAAAGAGACTCATGGGATTGACTTACCAGATACCCCTAATTTTTTCCTCAAATGATCGTTAGATATGGTAAGTCAACTTGCCACCTTTCTTAGATGGTACCTAACTAATAAAAAAGTATTAATAAATTTTTTTCTTGTGGTCCACTTAGGTTTTCTAGCAATGATTCTGCAATGAAAATGATGTTATCAACCAAACATTTTTTTTTCCAATACATGTGAATATATGTGTAAATTCATTAATCATGATTTTCTGTCATGTTTTAAATTAAATGACACATTTTTATGTCTAATTTCTGTTGACCTATGGCTGATGTAACAAAAATTACAATAAGCAAGTATAGCCATTACTATATTACTATAAAATTTGATCAATTCATAAAAAGACACATGATGATATGTTTCTCTTGTATTATAAGTATATGTAGAGTTTTGGTCAACATATTATTATAAGTTTTTGCTCTACTCTTATCATGTAAGTATGTGATCATGATTGGTATTAAACGTTATGAGTGATATATTTTATATTTGTCGTTTTTCCTTTCAAAGTAATTTTTTTTAGCTATCTGCAGATGAAGTGCAAAGTAATGAAAGAAACATCTGAATGATAAAATTATATCTTGATTGACATATATAGTTGCATTGTTAACTTTTATAACATTTGAAACGTGGGGGCATAAATTAAAATAAAAGATCCTTTTTAGAATTGCTTTCTTTATTTTCTAAAATGGATGATAACTTCTCCATATGCAAATTTTATTTGAACAATATATACATGTTCCCTTGTCATTTAAATGAAATACTTGGGTTTTGTATCTTAGCGTGCATGTATTATGTTTTCTAATTCTTTTTTTTTTCTTAAAAAAAATAAGCTTCCATGTAAATCTATGACTGCAACGTAGCTACAATGACCTTGATCACTAGAACCATCATTGTTTTTTAATACCTTAAAATGGTAATGATTCATGAATGCCTTGAAATTATAATTTACTTCTTAGTACTTCATTTCTCTCTTATTTGATACCTTGAATGTCTTGAAATGGTAAAAAAAATTACTCATTTAAAATTTACATCTTAGTACCTCATTTCTCTCTTTATTTATTCATCATAATTCCCCAAATCCCATGTCATGATATGTATATTAGTCACCATGCTATAACTTTGACATTATTTTAAGTTGTGATGAATTTATTTAAAAATCATTAATCTGGTATGTTTAAGAGGAGAATATATGCAAATTTTCATGGTTTTAAGTATTTAATGGTTTCTTTTCTAATTGTTATGTGGTTCATTTTGTAAGAACTTCATGATTATCCATTTAAAGTAGTATATGTTAACTTGATGTGGGGGAGTACTCATGGTAGTCTCCATGCTGCATGTGGTAGATTGTTGGTAAGTTTTGGTGGTTGGCACGGTGCAAGAATATCAAAACAAGTGACAAATTCAAATAATCTTGATTTGCACTTGCTGATTATTTCATGTTTAGCAGTTTGATTCCAATGTAGTCATGATTTATTTTACTTTTGAATTTGAGGCTTTTTCTGTTATCTTATCCCTTCAAATTATGTGGTTAAATAATTAAAATTGTTAGATGTTTGATGCTTATGGTAATCAAATTGAAGAAGGTATAGCAGTGTTCATTCTTGTGCATCCTATTTTATATATTTTTTTATTGTCAATCTAACGACTTATTTTTATGTAAGTATGTAACTATGACCTCATTTAGATGCAAAAGATAATGTAGAAGAGAGTGCCTAGGAATGAAGAAAAAAGAACATAGAAGTATATCTTTTTTTATCCTTAATACAGGATGCAAAAGACAATGTAGTAATTTTGATTTTGATATGACATGGACTTTGTGATTGTATGAACTTTAATATTGACTCTTAGACAAAATAATGTGGATTTTGTGATTGTATTATCTTTAATATTCATGTGGATGTTTTCGTTATAAAAAATTCTGATATGATTTTAAAATTATTAAAAATTCAGAGGTTGTCAAGAAAATTATTATTGACAGTTTTAGTTGATAATATGTCACTAGTGTACTTTATCACTAATGTTGTTTTTGTTAATAGCTTGTCGCTAATGAACTACCTCACTAATATTATTTTTGTCAAAATAAATACTAGTGATAGATCCAAGTAATTGTCACTGAAGCTTTTTATCTAAAATTTTAGTGACAGATTAGTTATCATTGAATTATCATCATTATTTTCATTAATTAGAAATTAGTGACAGATCAAGCTGTCACTAAAATTTTTTGTCATGACATTTAATGACAGAATCATCCTTCACCAAATATTGTCACATACATTACCTTGTCAATTTATTTATTTATTTTTAATGATAGAATTTGAGTATATTAATAAAAAAATAAGTCATTAAAATTTATAATTTTGTGATAAGTGTGCCTATTGTGTTCGCTAAAGCTTTCAATCATGATACTTAGGTCGACTGAAGTTGGTGATAGCTCGCATCGTCACTAATTCTTTTAGTGATATTTTTTTAACTTTTGGTGATAATTTTCATCCATTACTAATGAGCAAGTTGAAATTTATGTTCAAAAGTATACTTTAAGGGGAGGACTAAAGTTTAAAGTTATATCTTTTAAAGGATCTTAAGATTTTTATCTTCTAGATAAATTGATTAGATAGAGTTTTAATTGATTAAAATAAAAGATGTGATAATATTCTCTTAGTTTAAGGTGTTATTTTACACTTATAAATAGATGATACCATAGATGTGTAGATTTATTCAAGTCTCAAGCATCCAAGCATATAGGACTCAAGTCTAGAGTTAGATCAAGATCTTGTGAGTATTTTTTTTTTTTTTTCATCTTGATTTCTTCTTTTTTATTTGGTTTAATCTTGGACTAATAGTACTTTATTATTATTATTTAAGAAAGGATTATAATTATATGTGATCCTCTCTTTCTTCACGATAATAATAATATCAAAGTTGTAGTAGTAAGAATCAAATATAAGGTTATCCCGTAGAGTAATTCCATCCAATAACTCCAGTTGGATCAGGCAGTTATTTCCTAAAGCTTTTGAGCATCTTAAGAATGGTTTTTTTCGATTGATTAGACCTGGGACTTCCACTGACATTTATTCTGAGTCCTGGATATTCGAAATGCCTTTTTATTCAAGCCTACTTCCTTCGATATCTCTTCTGGCATGGATTTTGAATCATTCATGACACTATTTGGTTCCCTAAGTCCCCAAGGAAGATACATGGCATTGGAGGCATAATGTGCATGACAAATCTTCTATCATATCTGCCTTCAAATTTCTTCCACCCTTTGCAGGTTCAAGCCTTCCATCAGTTGGCACGGATGGCACCGTGCTTGGAGACTTTTCATCGTTTCTCAGGTAAAATTTTTTTTCCTTAGAAATTCTAGGTTCATGATCCTCCTAACTTATTGAAACTATTGCTCATCTAATTTTGTTGCTACTTGCTTTTGGAATTTTGTCCAGCTTAAAGTAGGGGGTGCATCTTGACCACTTTTCTATTTGGATGATGTCCTCCTGCAAGCGCTGTTGGGGCTTTTTATTGCCATTGTTTTTTGGTTTCTTCGGAAGGTGCGAAACAATAAGCTATTCGACAATGCTTGTGTCTCTACCACTTCTCTCCTTTGCATGATGAGTGCTATTTCTGAGGAGCAGTCCGGGAGTGCATTAGATTCTTGGTTAAATGGAATTCTCCACTCGGTTGGGCCAAGTTAATGGAGGCTGTGTTTTATGTGGTTGCAGGAGATTAAGCAACCATAATATGAGGTATTAAAGAGGGCATTCAGGCTGCTTTTGGAATTGGGATTCAATTGCTGCTCCACGCTGAGCCTGATTCCATGGCTATGGTGGATTGTCTCAAATACACTGCTGCAAATGTTATCAACGTTAGGTTATCCATCTTTCGTGAGGGTAATTGTCCTGCTAACTAAGCTTACAAACCACACGAGCTGTCGTCAATTTTTGTACTTGGTCATCCGGTTTGTAGTGATGCCATTGGAGATACGTGTAGTAGACATGCTTAATCCTCCTTAATACAAGCTCTATTTTTTATTGGAAGAAAAATTACAAGAGAAAGCTTGCAATACAAATGTTTTTTCAAATAAAATATAAATAATTATTAACATAAATCTTTTTTTCTAGTAAAATAAAAAAGTTGAATAATTGACTTTGATCGATCAAGAATTGACTTGATTTATTTTATAAAAAAAATAGGAAACTTCTATGAAATAGATTTATGGAATCAACTAATTATCTTGATTGTGAAATACCTTTGAGAAATATGAATCAGTATTATTATTTTAAGATATTTAAAAAAATAAAAGAAATACATTAAAAAAGAGTGGAGAGAGAAAAAAAAGAGAATAATACACTTGGATTGATCCCACATTATTTTAAGATTAACTTAAATATAAGATTGACTTATAAATTCTTATAAAGATTAATTTAAGTATTTTACTAGTGATTTGGGAGGTTGATGGACCAATTAACTTATCATGATAATTTGGTATAAATTAGGGTTTAATCTAAATCAAGAAGGAGAAATTATAATATCCTAATTAGTCTCATGTTAAAAATGAGTATGAGTAAGATTAAAATTGACTTATAAATATATGGTAAGGATACTATTCTAAACTTAATCTTAAAAATTTTAGTCGTAAACGAAATTGATGAACCAATTATCTTATTGGGCCCAATATACTTTCATAAGTTATTTGATACATGTTCATTCCATAAGAAGAATTATCTCAGTGTGAATATATTTTCATTTTAAATTCTTTTCCATGGAGAATCTTTAGATTTATATGGTTTTACATAACCTTCATTTTTCACACCCCACAAAATATCTGCGAGCTAAATAAAATAAAATATTTGCAAATAAAATATTGTTTTTATCGGTAAACATATGTATAGATAATGGTGACACCAAACTTATTTTGATTTAAGTGAACGCTCGATGTGTAGAAGAACTACAATTACATATACATTATGAAAGATCTGTAGAAATAAGCCTATAATGAATTCAATCAATCACTCAAAAAACATTAAAATAAAAATAAAAAAGATCGACGCAGGAAAATTACAATTACCTTCCGAACATTTTTAATATTTTCAATAAATTACTTGTGTGACATCTCCACCATTTTGTGCAGCAAATTGATGTCCAACTTGTTCCAAACTCACTCTCCCAGAAATCTTCAAAATCAAATGCTCAGAAGAAACTCTCTAATCTTTATCTGGATACTATTTTATGGACAGGTCGAAGGTTTCGTTCCCTACGCCTCCATGGATGATGAGGCACCAAACAGGAAGCCTCCGGTCTGCTTCAATCCTCCGGTTCCTCAACTAGAGGGAGGGGGCTGAATGAATGCAAGAAACCATTTCAGAAACACATAATAATTTATATGCTAAAAGAGACATTTGCTTATTCACAATAAATCTGCAAAAAGTTTTTCTTATTCCTGCTGGATTTGATTTGAAGTAGCAGCACAATATGGTTAAAACTAGTCTGTGCAACATTTGGCTACCAACTTATACATGAAATCCCTAAAAGCACAAGAATAATAGTGGAGAGGAGAAGAAGCATTATTAGAAAGCGTTCATGACGATTGCCAATAGATCACTGGGGATTTGGTGGCCTACTGTTGGCAGCAGAAACCCTCGAGCCCCACTCCAGCAGTTCTTTGCTCGTGTCATCCTTGTGCACGACGACGTCGATGAAGCACAAGCAATCACTCTTCTCGTTGGTTGCCGTCTCGATTGCCTTCTTCAGCTCCTCCTCGCGTTGCACCTAAAACGGAACAGTCGGTTCTCTTCTGGAGAGATCATGCAATCGATCAGACGCCAACGAATTTACCTTTGTCGTCCAACATTTGCCTTCGCCGTTGTGGATGGAATCGACCAAGGCGGTGTAGTTCCAGTTCTTGATAACGTTGTATGGGCCATCATGTATTTCGACCTCGATGGTGTACCCTCCGTTGTTTATGAGGAATATGATGCTCTTCTGCTCGCACCGCAGCATGGTGGAAATGTCCTGCGCTGTTACCTGGGTCCAATGCAGAAGACCGAGCTCTTCGTAATCCCAGGTTTCATCAGCATCAATGTTTCGCGTGCATTTATCGTACCTGAAAGCTTCCGTCACCGATGCAGGCAATGACACGCTTATCCTTGGCCGCCTGCGCGTATCCTAGTGTTGCTCCCACCGACCATCCGATGGAACCGTACTGCATTTGGAATTCATATCTACGACGATGGAAACATTAATCCGTGGGGTTTGCTGTTACTTGAGCGGATAAAAGATGAGAGCGGGTAGGAGGGGGGACTCACCCACATCCCTGTGGCAGATTCAGCTTCTGGCAGTTGAACCATGAGTCGCCGGTCTCCGCGATCACGGCCGTAGCGCTCGACAGCATGTTTTGGATGTGCTTGAACAGAATGTTCACCCTTAGTGGCTCGTCGGGTTGGCATTCGGGTGGTGCCCCCCTGGGCACGAAGATCCGGCTATAGTTTTCGTAGGCCGTCTTGTTGCAGTTGAGGCGTTTGGCCAGCGCCCGAAGGAAATCCTTCATAAGGATGCACCCGAACGCCGGCCCGTTGGCCACCACCACCCGGTCAGGCTGCACGATGATCGACTTCTCCTTCTTGAGGAGGAGGGAGTATCCCACGGAGCTGTAGTCATTGAAGATAGGCCCGGCGAAGACGTAGGCATCTGCGGACTCCACGATCTCGGCGCAGAAGGCAGTGCTGACGGCTCCCCAATAGGTGCCGATGAACCTCGGGTGGTGCTCTGGCACGAGCCCCTTCGCCGCCGGCATGACGGCGATCGCGTAGCCGCACGCGTCGGCTAATTCCACGAACGCCTTGCCTGCCTTGGCTACCCTGATCTTGGGGCCTCCGACCATGACCGGCTTCACAGCCTTGTTGAGGAACTCAGCTGCGGCTTCCACGGCCGCATCTAAGCCCATCTGATTGCTCAACCTGGAGAGCTCAACGACACCAGATCATTCACAGAGCACAAAAGTGATGACATGTCCAAACTAAGAAGGTTACCACTCCAGCGATTGATGCGGAACACTGGAGCAATAGAGATACTAGACCTGGGGGAGAGAAAGAAGGGAACGGGATCCCGGCTGAACGTGGGATGCGGAATGGCGGGAAGGTTACAGCTGATGCTGATATAGACGGGCTTGCTGTCCTTCATGGCGGTGGAGATGGCGGTGTCGAGGAGCTCGTGAGCGTTTTCGAGATTGTTCACCACCGCCTGCTTCGCCCACCCGAAAGGTCAACTCCGGGGCTCCGAATGGCGAAAGGTGAGACTCGGGGAAGATGGAGACGGAGGAAGTACCTGGTAGCAAGTGACGGTCTGGAAGCAGCGCACCTCCTGGGAGAAGTCGGGGAGGCCAATGGTGTGGTGCAGGATCCTGTTGGTGCCGTAGTCGTTGGTGTTGGGCCCGCCGACGATGCAGATCAGGGGAAGGTTCTCGCTGTACGCGCCGGCGATGGCGTTGAGGACGCTGAGGCCGCCGACGGTGAAGGTGACGACGCAGGCGCCGACGCCACGGGAGCGGGCGTAGCCATCGGCGGCGTAGCCGGCGTTGAGCTCGTTGCAGCAGCCGATGAGGCGGAGGCCGGGCTCCGCGATGAGGTGGTCGAGGAGGGTGAGGTTGAAGTCCCCGGGCACGGCGAAGACGTCGGTGACGCCCAACTGGACGAGGCGACGGGCGAGGTGGCGCCCGAGGGTGGCATCCGAGGAACAGGCAACCGCAGACGGCGAGAGGGTGTGGCACGTCGCCGACGGCAGCCCGCCCACGTCGTTGCTCACTGGCTTCGCCACCCCGTCCACTGATCCCACTTTGGTCTCCATAAAGATGTCTCAGAGGCGGAACAATCCTTGCTGCCGAAGAGGAAGCGGAAGACCTACTTATAGAGGTTGATGTATCTGCCTCCGACCTTAAAGGCATCGATCAAGTCGCCGCCATACGCACCTCGAACGAGTGTGATGGAAGTAGGAACTCTCTTGCCGTAGCTTTGGTCTTGTGTTCCCGCATCAAAGGGAGGAAAGAGTGCGTGGCATTCCGCTAGCTATGTGGTGATTCCTCCGGGTCGTGAGGAACAGGCTATCTTGAATGCTTCTCTCTTTACGAGGAATGCATACTGGAACGCAAACTACAGAAAATTAGAATCCCTGCAGCCGTCTCAACCCTACATGTAATTGGAATCAACGATAGGCTTATATATATATATATATATATATATATATATATATATATATATATATATATATATATATATATATATATATATATATATATATATATAT